CCTCCCCCCCTCCAAATCTGTCTCAAATATAAGCCATCTAGGGGGTTTGGATTCTCAATATTCTGTTCATTTCACACGATAGGAAATTTTAGCATTAAGCCCAGCTTCACACTTTTTATGTGCAAGTATGGAACTCAGTACTGAAGTTGGCCTGAAATTCGAAGTTTTTGAATCTACCATTTAGAAATGAGAATCCAAAGTATAGTAATATTGCAAGTCTTTGAAGTTAAACAAAAAACATTTTAAGTTGGTTGACTGCCGAGAGAACTTGTATCCTCTTCGGATCGATTTAAAATCTCGAGTTAAATAGAAGTCGCAATTGAAATCCGTGAGTTCTACCTACTGCCATCATATTAGACGCAAAATTTACCAACTATTTTATAATTTTTGTGTTATTTAAAGACACTTGAAGAATTAAAACTATACTATTTTCATTAATTAGGTGCTGTCTTTGTCTATATTTTATTTATTTCAAATGAAGGGCTTTATGACACTTACCATTAGCCCTTTAGCTGACTTCGGGCTTCACAGAGGGAGGAACATCAAAATGCGAAAAAGTGGATAGGGGGAGCAGAAGAGAGATTCACAGATGTAAAGGAGACAGGCAGACAGACATCAAGATAAAGGTAAGGTAAGGTGAGTACTATGGAAGTGGTGAAACATGACATACAGTGGGGTCATGGTAGTTAGACCTCAGAAGTCGTTTATAGACTTTTTTGCCGTATGAGTATACGTTGCCAAGGGTGCACTACATGGAGGTAAGTCTATCGCACACCTCACTAATTCTGTATTATTTACCACATTATTTAAAAGATTAATGCTATTAAAAAAGCTTAATTTCATCCTCCAAAGCAGATTTAAAATGGAAGAATGACCTATTGAAATGAATGAATTCTATCGTGGTATACAGCAATGACAAACGCCAGAACCAATATTTCTCAACTAATGAATTAAAATTTTATCAGGACTACATTTGAATTTATGCATGGTAGATCAATGATAAACTAGGTTTGGAGTAAATTTGATCTAATCCCGTCCATAGCTTCTTTTATCTCGTAAAACACTCTTCATTGGCTCTGCAGTTAGCCAAATGTCTTGAATTAGTTCGACTTTGGCCGCGGATTGTGTGAGACTCACCTCCATGTGGTGCATCCTGGGCAACGTATATTCATAAAGCAAAAAGTCTATTAGCCGACTACTGATTTCAAGCTACCACGACCCCACTGTATATCATGCTCCACCACTTCCACAGTACTAACCTTACCTTACCTTAAATCTTGATGTCTGTCTGTCAGTCTCCTTTGCACCTGTGAATCACTCTTCTGTTCCCCACTCTCGATTTTTTCTCCCTTTGACGTTCCTCCCCTCTGTGAAGCACGAAGTCAGCTAAATGGCTAATGATAACTATCAAAACGCCTGGCATTTGATATAAATAAATAAGTTTGACTTTGGCGGTTCTCTGAGGGACATCCAGATGATAGGAGTAGAGTGGCCAGCAGTGTACAATTTAAACGATTGGAGCTTGTATTTCGCCAACTTAAAATTTTACCTAAGGCATTTATTCTTTATTGGGCTTCGTATTTTCACGATTAGAGCAAAATTTACACATCTAATCATGATTCTAAATGATCGACCAAGCTGTGGACTTGCCACTTCAAGACTATGACCATTGCTATTTCTCCTGCAAAAGTCATGTCCACGGGTTTGTATTGGTCTTCACCCATTTTGTTTCAAATATGGTGGGTGGCTTCTGGCATTTTAAACAACTGAAGGAAAATGATTCCCGCACCTATCTTAGACAGAGATTGCATTCTGATGCATTAAATGGATCCATGGAGAGTCTTGGCACCCCATTATTTATGCTACCTGTTACACAGCACAATTGAAAATTACGAAATTATTATTATGCCTTAGGAATAAAATGCAGATTGGACTCGTTGAAAAACTAAAAAGTTAACCTTATGCTCTGTGATCATCGATCGGCACTCATCTCTCGATTTAAGCGAGCAAGTTAGACCCAGCGGCGTAGCTCCTGAGGCAAAGACCCCAGCATGCAAAGCCAGCAACAGTCAAGATATGTCCTGCCTTATTCCTCTTCTCCTTTACTTGATTTTTAGCGCCTTTTGGAACTTGTTCAACGTTGGCTAAACCTATTCCATTAGAATGTCTTTAGTACTTAAGTACAAACAGTAGGCACAATCAAAATGCTAAAATATGAATATGAAAGAACATATAATTACATCCCAGTTCAATATATACACATACACACACATAAGTACAAGAAGATAATTTTGGAAAGCTATTGATGAGTGCGAATCTCCCTGATTTTCTCAATATACTGAGCAACGGTAATGCGCGCAGAGGCTCGGGAGAGAACCGTCATCGAATCGCCCATCATGAGTTTCTCGGGTGTCGACTTGGGCAGAATGTCAGAGGAACCATTGTCCGCAAAGGCCTTTTTAAGAGTCGGTGTTATGGCATTGGAACCTGGAGGACCCGAAAACAACTCCGGGAAATACTGCGTGCCAAAAGCAATAAGAAGTTCACCTGAGCAACTCGGTAGGCACGTAGGGATGAAACATATCTAGAAAAAAACAAAAAGACAATAACCGCAAAAATTTCAGAGGAGAGCTGTAAAAGGAGGCCATTGTGTTCAATCATCCAGAGCAATGATAGCAATATTCGTTGGTGGTTATTAGGCCTAACGCCACGAGATAAATGCACACCCAGTGCTGAATGAGCAACGGCGATAATTATTTCTGGTAGAAAGCAAACTTTGAAGCCACGAAGTCTTCTTAAGCCCAGGTCAAGATTACTCCGCACTCTCCTCAATGGAATTGGAAAGATTTTTGTACAATTTATAATATCAGCATTGCGGTTGGTTACTAACAATGTATTTGAGCGGAATGAGACATACATTGAAATGTAAATTGAAATTGAACTGAGGGTAAATAGTCCCCCCTTTTAAGAAAGCGAACAAGGTGATTGCACTTGGGAAAATGGTGTGAACATATAAGATAAAAGGCCCAAAAGTCAAATGTGTCCATTTATCAATGAAAAGTAGAATTTGAGCTGGTAATAATTTAAGGATTTGAATTTTATGATTAAATGCACGAATTCAAAATAAACTAACATGATTAAAAACAGAAGATCAAGCTTACTTCTAGCAGAAGACCCCTGATAGTAGCACTTTGACCCGTTGATATGGTAAAGAAATTAATTTGAAAATCACCAAGACGGTATTTCACACCATTCCCTTCCACTTGGAGCTTCTTTTCATATTCGACAACCCCTTTCATGAGAGCTGGAAATTCTCGAAATGAAAGATCAGCGGTGAGCATTCTATCAGGTTCTGCATCGTTGATAACAAAGCATGTTGCAGGAAAGTCAGATATGGTGAAAATTTGGAAAGATCTATATTTAGCTGTCGATGAAAACGCAAATAAAATTTAATACCGCATTACCTAAATTCACCAGAGAGCGATAAATACAACTCTCTAGACGAACTTTTCCAACTTCAACAGCGCCAAACATTTCTAATCGACTTATTTTTTCGTCGAGGATTTGCTTTTCATTGCCAGGAACACGAATTACTCTAAAAAAAATAAAAAAGCGCGTGCAACTTACGCAGAGATTCCAGGCATCTTTCTACAAAAAATGGACAATTTTGTCAGACTTATACAAGTGGTGCAAACATGATATCTAATCCAAATGATAAATTGCAAAAATCTTAAGAAATCGGTTAGTCAGCCCCATAAAACATAGGAACTTAGACAATTATAAGAATACATTTTCTCTAAATTTAAAAGAAATACTACAGCGGTAAGAAAACAAAATGAATGCATTGGAACAACGAGATATCTTAGTTTTGCTAGTAGCTGAAAATACGTACATTGAAAAATAACCACCGAACGCAATCGCATAACGCGCTTAATCCAAAACCCATTAAAATCAGTCTGATCTAAAAAAGGAGTTTACTCATGTATTCAGGAAGACGTGTCGAAAATTACGAAATCAATAAAATGTCCTATCTACACTTGGTTACTTTAATCATATTTATTCATTTTTCTGCATTCAGTTACTCTGAATTTTAACGGAATAATACAACTTTTATTGCTGAATTAAAACGATAGGAATTAAACATCTTAACTTATACCTTCTTATATTCCTTCTTACTTTTTATTTTAAAATGTAAGCAATCTTCCAATATGTATATGGATATTAATTTAATCTGTGATAATTATGTTAAACAGGTATCTCCGAATTAGTAAAAGTAAATATGAAATACAATATAAATGAATTTCATTTTCCGACCTTCTTTGTGTTCATTATGATTAATTATTATTTGGAGTTTTATTTTGCTCATTTCAGCAAAACTACACATTGATTTTGCATATTCTTATATGCATATTTTAAATCACATGTTCATCCCTAATTCCGTTTTTAAATTTTAATTGAATGTCCTGGAATGCATTAGACCACTTCAAACTATTCCATAGCAAATTAAGTGTCGCATTTTAAAATTTACTTAAAAGCCTATTTTTCGTTACGTGGCTTTGAAGACCTTATGTAAGATAATAACTGAAAATTGTGTTTTGATCAAAGTTTCCAAGGATATCCTTTTGATCATTTCATAAAATCTTTCCAAGTTAAGCCATCTATTCTTTTAAATATTTTCTCGTAGTATCACCCACAATTTTTAACTTTATATTTCCGAAGTAATATCATCCTTATTTTTACTTATTATCAGATGATACCCCTATTTTCGCTCAAACTTAGGCTGTATTCAAACCAATTATCGAAAGTAACTAATTGCTCAAATGACTTTTTCAAATTTTCATATATATTTTATAGGATTTGCATCTTTAGCTCAAGCATACATAGACAAACAGAATCGGCATCTAGTGTAACATTATTAAGTCAAAAGTTTTCTTTATTTAACTGCACATCATTGGAGGTGTTTTGGGCAATGTATATATCGGATTGCAGACTCTGATAGGTGAATGAAGATTCAAATTCATTTCTACAATTTATCATCAATGAGCACGATTATCGCTATACCGACGTCGGATATATTTACTCGAGCCGGAAGTCGGCGTAGCAGCTTTAATATATCCTCCTCCTGAGGTCGATGTGCTGCTTCCGGCTGTACTTATTTCGCTCATTTCAGGTGCCTCTATTGTGCTCCAGCGCTCCTTCAATTTTCGACGGACTCGCGCCCGTGTTAAATTGTCCATTTCGGCAAGGGCCGCATCTTGACCCGACTCCTCAATATCTTTTATGGCTATGAGATAACTATCCACCAGGTCTACCTGCAACAAAGGAAAAAACGGCTCCATCAATATGTGCCTTTTGAGTTCGTGCTTTTTTCTGCTAATCCCCACATTGTAGATCAATATGAAGACAGCAGTAGCATGCATCGTAGTTGTTAAGATTATGTAAATAGGATAAAGAAATTAAAACCTATTGGATTTGTGTTATTGAAAATTATTTGATAAGGAATCAAAGTTAGAGTAGTAATGTAATTTTAGTAGCAGATTGGAATTGTTAGACATTCTTTGTTTTAACTTACTTGAAATCTTAACTGTTTGATGTGAAATAGTAAAATATCAGTTAACAGTAATCTAAAAAGAGATTAAACGTTGCCAATATCTCAGATCTAAAAGCGGTTAACAGTTTTAAAATGACTAAGGTAATACTTTTTTTCAACTCTTATGGTATGAAAGCTATTGCTCATTCTATATTAGCAGTTTCCTGAAAAATGTTGACTAAAAGAATTCACTTTTCCGGATTTATATCGTTTAAACCAATAAAGAAAGCGTTACATTTAACTGTGCGAATGCTAAAACCATTCCATTTTTAGTTGCGCAAATGCAAAAAGCACATGGCGATTTGAAAAAAAATTAGGGCTATTAGAAATAAATTTTCACGGGTCCAGACTCGACAACATTATTTTTCTCGTAGTGTCTACGCCAAGCCTACAATTTAGACAGACGGAGCGATACGCTGTGTTGTCAAGACAAAAGAAAAGTCAGATGTGCCGACATACCACACCAAGGACCCCCTCTCCGCCCCCTCCCCCCACCACGTTGTTAAATATGAGAAAATTTTATATCAGAATTTCTCTTTTTCTAACCGTTTAGGACTTCAAAGATTCGCGACAAAGTGAAAAAAACGAGATCCAAGGAACTTCTTACAAATTGTGCATGTCTGTTTATTTACATTGTTAATAAATATAATTCTTTCATTGTTAATTAAAGAAGCTTTTCGGTACCTGGAAAGTTCAAAACGTAAGAATATCGTTAAAATGACTAGAGAGTAAATTTGCGAGAATTGGCTTAAAATTCGCGCTTTACTCTGCATTCAAAGAATAAGGAATAGTACTTTTTACATAAAACCCAACTCTCTTGTTTTTCCAGAGAAGATGGCACCCATTACAATAATTTACCTAAATAGCCTTCAAAGGACCGAGGCTTTTATTGTCATCCACTCTCCCCTGTAAATGTGATTATGAAAGCTTTGAATAGCTCGGTTTGTTACTACGTTAAAATGTAGAACAGCTAATAAAGCAAAAACAAATAAGCCTATGTAGTTAGAGAAGGAAATCAATTCGTATTCTTACTTTAAGGCTTCATTCAGAACCGAATAAGTGGGGGGGGGGGGGGGGGGAGGGGGGAAGTACGAACAACTCATTACCTGCTCGTCACCCCCGAAAGTGATGGAGACATTGATGCCACGAGGCCGCGTGTTGGTCTCCTGGTCGACCATTGAGTGATTCTCGGTGTTACTGGCACGGTGACGCACTTGCTTAACAACTGGAAGAACATTCGCCTCGCTGGCGGTGTCTTTTGTCGTCGGCCGTGTCTCCTCATCGAACGACAATAACCGAGAGTCTGTTTGTGTGGCAGCAGTCACTCTAAAATGCAGTCAATGGGTGGAAAGAAAGAATGTCAGAATTGGTCAAGCAACTTAATCAAATGAGTAACAAATTCTCCCTAAGACTTAATGTTCGAATATAATTAATAAACTTGATATCGAAAGCCTTCTCAAAGCAAAATATCGTATTTTGAAATCTTAGAGATCAACTCAAATAAGAGGGCAGGCAAGGGAGACTAAACAAAGGAAATCAAAGAAGCTTTATTGATCTGCAATTCTCAGGTCGTTTGTTTCCACTAGATTTTCATTAAACCCCATTTTCGGTGCACAGATTCCAAAAACGGTAAGGATTATATATACTATGTTGAATATGGAATGTGCGATAGACTTACCTCCACGTGGTGCACCATGGGCAGCGTATATTCATATGGCAAAATGTCTATAATTCAGTAGTTGACTTCCGATTTCAAACTATCATGACCCCACTGTATGTCATGTTCCACCTTACTTAACCTTTTTTTACTACCTTTGTGTCTGTATCTGTTTCTTAAAATCTTACCCTTTCTGAGCCTTTGTGTCTGTTTCTTTTACCCTGCTTACCCTTTCTGAGCCTCTGTGTCTGTCTGCTTCTTTTACATCTGTGAATCACTCTTCTCTACCCCCACGTGTCTGTCTATCTCTTTTGCATCCTTGAATCACTTTTCTGTTCCCCCTCTTGAATTCTTCTCACTTTGATGTTCCTCCTCCCCTCTGTGAAGCCACTCTAATGTCCCTCCTCCCCTCTGTGAAGCCCGAAGTCAACTAAAGCGCAAATGATAACTATCAAAACGCCAGACATTTGAAATAAATAAATAAATAAATGTTAAATATACCCACTTCGGCACATTTGAGAGCCAAATAGCGCCAAGGGGCTACTAACTGCGATGCTTTAACCTAAATGTCAATTTATTTGAAATAGACGCGTATTTGTCAATTAATTCGCCGAATTCTTCCCTGGCATTTAGTGAATCAATAAACTATTGATAAGATATCATCATAGCTGGTTCTAACTACATGTTTTGAACTGTAAGGAGAAGTGGGATGAAAATAGGTGAGTAGGAGCAGAAGATGAAGTTAAATTATGAAATTTTTTGGCTTCGCTACATCAATCAGTAACTGCGCCTGATTTAGAGATATGGACACAAAAGGCCATTTCGGCTGATGATTTCATTGGCTAACTCTTTATTACACCCTTTTCTTACTTAGGGTTAGTTTTTGTTACCCTCTATTTATCAAAAATTCAATAAGTAAATTATCGCAAAAAATTGCACTGCTAGGAGGTTAATGATAAGTAATAAGGACAAAAGTGTAAATAGAAGTTATCAATGCAAAATTAGTGTTACCACTCGTATTTGACATTTACCGACTTGTCAATGCCTAATTAACGAAATGTCAGAGTAGTTAGGACGAAAAAATGAAGGTTAACGCCTTTAGGGGTCGAAGTTACCACAAATACGTAAGAATGGATAAGATATAACGCGAATTAGTATATTTTTATGACAGGCTGAACTTAATTAGAGGGTTATCGATTCGTTTGTGATTGAATTAACGCGATGTTTCTTTGAAATGATTAGTTTCTTTATTAGGCATTGAATATGTTAATAATAAAAATTTGAAAAGAATGAATAAGTAAGTGAAAATGGCTTTTCATGGGAGTCACAAGTCTTGAAAATATGTTCATATGATTCATTGTTACTTGTTGGATAATTGTTCATCAAAAAACACAAAAAATATAAGCAGAATTTTGCAAGTTATTTTGAAAAAATTTAAAGCTAACAAAATTAACACTACTTTGCAAAATAATCTGCAATGTTTGGTAACAAAACCTTGAAATTGGTCTAACTATTTTAGGCATCCCGCATGACATATGGTTATACCCCTGATATGGAAATTAACTCTTATGAATTCTTGCAATGCTGTAATTGACATTAGTCAGTTTATTAGTGATCTGTCAACAAAATTGATCAACGCTTTTTCTCCCAGAAACCCATCACTGAAAAACCTAAATGACGCAAGTTCTTATTTTGTGTAAATTTTATTGTCTAACGGTAATAAAAAAGTGGTAAGTCGACCCTAGTTTAATGTATTAACACAAATATCGAAAATCCGAGGCTTGCTACATACAAAAATGCAATCTGGAGATTTTACGAGGAAATAACAATTGATAAACAATTACGGTAATAAAATCAACAACAACAACAACATGGTAGGCTTTTCATTAAGTTGGAGTGGCATGAAATGAGGCCAGCAATTAAAAGGGCACCAAACAGAAAAAAACAGTTCCAAAAAGTAGAACTCGGAAGATCGGTGTGGGCCTAAGTGTACTGAATATACTTCGGTGAGGAGTAGAGAGTGAGATAAGTGGGAAGGCCACAAACTGACCATAGACAAGTGAGTGTGTGCGTGTCGGGTTGTGTGAGTTGAATAAAATGCCCCCTAGACATGGACCTTCGTGAAAAGGTACAGTTTCAGAAATAGAAGATATACAAATATCACTTCGGCTTCGTGGATGATAAATCATGGCAGTTTCGTCGAAAATGTCGAAAATATATTAGAGGAAACTTATACTTCTATTCGAATTTTTCAGTGTTTTTGTAATGGATATAAACCCGTCAAAGTTAATGTAGTTGTTTAGAGATGCAGGTTTGGGAATTAGGATATTGTAGTACAAATTGAAGGGAAGTTAGTAGAAGTTGATGATAATGAAAGACATAACAGGATTAAATGAATGAAAATAGTCATTTCCTCCCAATTAGACCCTTGGAAAAGCTCACTGCAAGTTAAGGCTAAAAAATTTATAAACAATTTAAATTTTTTTAAACCAACCCCATGATTTGAGGGAACGTAGGAGCTGGGCGATTGGTCTTTATTGAATCAGGATCTTCCAGAAATACTAAATGTCCTAGACACAGAGGTTGAGGAGTAAATTGGGTTTTTGGAATGGTAGCCGAGGGCAGATTTCCAGCCACTTCAAGTTGCATCAATTTTCCTAACTTCTCTTTAATGTCAGCTCGCGTGTGAAGTAGGACGTTGAGGTCCTGTCCTTCCAATAATTCTACCACTTCAGCATGGACGCTTTCCAGACGAGAGAGCTGGCATTCCCATTCAGGAGCACGTTCGATTGTCTGCATGGTCGGTCGGCCAACTCGACTATGAAGCTGTTCTATCAATCGGTCCTCTTGTCGATGTATCTGAATGGAAGACAGTGAAAATTTGACATTTATTCTGTCACAAATTAAGAAATACTAAATAAAAATATCTTGTTCTAATTAGTTTTATTTTTTAAGTAATGCCAGTGGTTGCAACCAGAAGGTAGACGAAATTTTAACGAAAACGAACTCCTATTGGACGAAGGAAACGATGGGAAGAAAGTAAATGCAAGTAACTAATGAATTTTATTGCTGAAGATAACGCAGTAGATGGTCTGATGAATATATCGAAGATAGAAGATGGTTGAAAGTGCACGGGAAGCTTGAATTTACATTAAAATTAACTGTTGGTACACAGTATTCGTCGCTCTATAACGCCTAAAGAGTGTTTACACGTAGCAAATGCTCCTATTTAATTTCCATTTTGTGGTGAGCTGACATCTTCCCACTATTTTGTGGCTGTTGTGACTCTCTTCTCTAGCTTTATCAAGAGTCTCTTGCGAATAACTTTTAAGGAGTGATCTAGTTCGAGTCCCTTGAACCAACGCGCTATAGGGGGGGGGGGTGCCCCAATTCCAAATGAGGGCCATTTTTGTGAATATGACGTATCTAAGAAGCTAGAGCTTATTTAGGACGTTTTTCTATTATCACAAAGCGCAAAGCTAAAATTTAGGAAAAATGCTTTCAAGTGGCATATCACCTCCTTTCCAATTTCTAGCAGAAATAACTTGACACGGTAGGACATTATTTTTACAAATTTGACTTTATTTATTTGTCTCGTTTGACAGCATTCTTTCCTTTCCCCTCCAAACATTCCGACCATAAGTGCACAGATGGATTCTTAAAATTTCAAATGGCAGGCGTTTTGATAGTTATCATTAGCCCTTTAGTTGACTTCAGGCTTCACAGAGAGGAGGAACATTAAAGTGAGAAAAATTCGAAAGGGGGAACATAAGAGTGATTCAAAGGTGTAAAAGAAACAGATACAAAGGCAGACAAAAGGTAAGGTGGGAATTGTGGAAGTAGTGGAATATGACATATAGTGGGGTCATGATAGTTTGAAGGGAGAAGTCAACTGTCAGTTAATAGACTTTTTTGTCGTATGAGTATACATTGCAATGGATGCACCACGTGGAGGTAAGTCTGTCGCACACCCCAAAATTAATATATATATATATATATATATATATATATACATCATTTTCATAATTACAACTATCCATATACATCAATAAGGAGTGAAACTTGCNGGTCATGATAGTTTGAAGGGAGAAGTCAACTGTCAGTTAATAGACTTTTTTGTCGTATGAGTATACATTGCAATGGATGCACCACGTGGAGGTAAGTCTGTCGCACACCCCAAAATTAATATATATATATATATATATATATATATATACATCATTTTCATAATTACAACTATCCATATACATCAATAAGGAGTGAAACTTGCAAGTAATGTTTTAATTATACAGGTCTTATTTCCTGAGGACCCATATATATTCTTTTACCTATGAGTTCTCCTACCTGTGCTCAAGCGTGAGAAGTTGACCTAACCCAGACTCCATGCTCCGATGGTCATGGAGGCACAATCAGCTGCCCACCACGCCTTGATGAGACAATCACACCAAGGATCGATCCAGCCAAGAGAAATTTCTAGCTATTCTTGCACTACTCTCTCTCTCTCGTTATCTTGTTTACACACCACCACTTTGCCTAAATTTAAAGTTTTCCAGCAATCATTAATGACAATACGGGGATTTTTTTCACAAAAAGGTGCTTTACTTTAGACTAAAACCACTTAACATTGTGATCAGCTAATAAGATATTTGAATTTGCTCAACCCGACTTATTAACTTCTTACCTGAAAAAAAATAGATCTTGATAATAATTACTATAATCAGCATATTCAATAGCAATTGGATGCGCACATAAAATGGCTAAATGTTAATACTATTTTATTGATCTAATTAACGACCAATTATCGATTACTCGCCAACCTTCAAACTGCCTACATTACACCTTTTCTTTCCAACCTTGAAGTTGTGGAACAGCATGTGACTGCAAAATTTGTCCTACACGAAAAAGGCGTGTCGAATATATCGCACTTCTTCATAGATTCACCCTCTGTACTTTTGACAGCAATGGCATCATGACATTAGATTAAGTGAAGTTGTTAAATAAAAATCCAAAATGAAAGTAGAATATCGTAGGCAAGGGCTGTTAAAGGCTTTGAAAAGTTCGATGGAATAGAGAACAATCGTAGATTGTATTGATGCATTCGCAAAAGTGAATTAATACTTCTATGGATAACAGAATGAAACAAATTTTTTTCTCAAATATTCCTAAGGAATCTGTAAAATCATGGAAGAAAAATATGAAAACAGAAATACTATTAAGCAAATGAAAAGGTGAATTGCAGCCACACATTAAGAAAGAATATTTGTATAATAAGATGTGACATATTTATAAAATTCCAATGACACATTTGCATATATTTGTGTGAGGGTGCCCCATGGGTCAACATGACAAGCCCGCAGTCATGAATTCAAGGAGCATCAATACTGCGAGCACTTACAACCTTTTGCCTAAATTTTTATATCGAAACAATTGTGTGGAGTAGACCGTCTCAATTTCGCTTAAAATAGCCTGATAGACTTCATTTAGAGTTTTAAAAACAGATAAAATTAGCATTTCTTTCGTCAGTAGAGTTTCAAAAAAGTGGATTCAGTCTGTCTGGTTTATTTACATAACCGTGTTTGCCGTCTAGTGCAGCACTTGTCAACTCCACAGATGATGCTCGCTTATCCTCCACATATCTAAGGCATACATCAACTCGTTAGAGTTAACTATTTGAAATCAATTTAATCACGAGATTTTTAGCCGAAATCAACTTTTATACACAAGCGTGGCAGGTGGACAAGTGTTAGTTGATTTAAGCGTGCACCCTGGGCAACGAATACTCATACGGCAAAAAGGTCTATTAACTGGTAGTTGACTTCTGACTTCAAACTACCATCACCCCACTGTATGTCATATTCTACCACTTCAACAGTACTTATCTAACCTTCTTCTCTACCTCGTCTTTTTCAATTTGATGTTCCTCTTCCCCTCTGTGAAGCTTGAAGTCAACTAAAGAGCTAATGATAACTACCAAAACGCCTGCCATTTTTGATAGAATAATAATTTTTGAGGTAAAGGACATCCACCGTCCACATTTTTTAAATTGAAGTAGAAGACCAGTGATATGAGGCTTGCTAACTTCCTAAAGCTCACTGATTATTGACTCAATACCTCCAAGTATTTCAAATAGTTGTTCAATCTTGATGATTATTTTTTCAAATTGTTAATAAGTTTCATTAGAACTTCCTCTTCACTCGTCTAATTGCTGTGTCGTGGTCTCATGTGGTCCCAGTGGGGCAAAGTTATAGCCCAAGTGTAGAGTGGACTTGGTGTGGCAGTGCCAATAAAGAGCACTCTCTCTCCCTCTCTTAGCGCTTTGATTAACACTTATAATTAGGTTAATAAAAAAAACTAATTACCAGGGCAGCAGCTCCTGAATTAGCACCTTCCAAAAGTTATGCTGCTTAGTTTGTGGAAAAGATAGATCGGAATTTCCTGGCAATTAAGCTAACTGCTTTCGAATGATATAAAGATGTTTGGTCTGCAAAAAACTTTTGCTTTTGACAGTTAAAGGCTAAATATAGAAGTTCGCTAAGCTAATCCAGCATTCTGCTCTCAAAATAAATTGTAATTTATGGTAATGGCTTAAATTTAACAGACAAATCTGATCAGTAATAATAAAAATAATTCTTAGAGCAGAAATGTAGGTTTAAGTTATCCAATTCACTGATTTCGGAGACGTGCATATTGGAAACGAGTTCACCATCCCTTTTTCTACTAAAACTGGTAGATAGTATTCAAATTGACTTAAAACAATTCAGTAGTATGTTGTGCACTTGACTGAGGTGTGATATTTCAAAGAGCATTTACTACCGAGTTTGCTGCTTGATGTAAACAAAAAGGAAGATTCGCTGACTTAAACAAATAAGCAAATATTTAAACATCAACAATTAAAGATGAGATGAATTGAAGTTTCTTATGACATAACTTTATTGACGCGTTTATTTAAATCAATCGAAGGATGAATGAACGGATTATTTAGAGTAACATTTCATTAATAGGAAGAAGAGATTCTAACAAAAACGTTTACTTTGTTAATGAATTAATTTAAATTTGTAACATATAATAAGTTAAATCTCTGAGTAAGGGGATATATAGATTGTCAACTAGAGAAATTGATAATGACCAACTCACCTCATCGATTGCTCTGTCAGCACACTGTCGAACTTCTCTTTCCACTTTATGAACCATTTCAGCAGCATCATCCACCACTCCCAGCCACTTTCGCGTCTTCTGAATCAGTACCTGCGTCTCATTCACCTTTCTATGCAGTTCATCTCTTAAATTCTGCAGGGCTTCTCCGAAACTCTTCATTTCATGTTCTCGGTGGTCGTTAAATGTACACAGCACACAAACACAAGTTGAGCAGTTCTCACAGTAGAATCTCACCGGTTCTTCTGGATGTTCTCTACAGGCTATTGAACTTTCTGTTGCTAAGCTGAAGATGGCATGCTCTCTAGTAACCCTGATTTCTTTGTGCCTTTTGACACATTGGTCACAGAGTAATTTCCCACAATCCAGACACTTTGAAGTGGCCTTGGGCACAGCTGAAATAGCTGCGGAATTCGCTCGAAAAGACGGGAAATCAACAGAGAGAATATTTCGATTTGCTGAAGGCGTTGTTGATCGTCCACGGCCCATTCGATCGCCAAACTGACCGCAGATTTCACACTCCCCGTAACCAGCGATTTCAACCTGACCCATTTTACGACTTTGACCTCCAAGAGGTCCACACACTGACTCAGTCTCACTGTCTAGTATTTTGTCACCTCTGTCATCACGCTCAATAATTCGAGATGAGTGCTGGGTTCGTGATAGCATGTCAGCTAGACCAGAAACAAAAAAGTTATCGGGGAGTTTTCTCACTCCCCCAATAGGGAGAGTAGTTCTTTTACGACACAGAGGGCAAGTAAAGTGGTGATAGTCAGCGGTTTTATTGTAGGTGACCTCTGCGGAGATATGATATTCGATGCATTTCTCGCAGAAAGTGTGTAGACAAGCTAGAGACTTCGGTTTCTTGAATGCGTCCAGACATATTTTGCAAATGAGAAATTCTTCGTGGATTTGCTGAGCGATTTCCAACGAGATGGCGCCGAAGAGAGGGAAGTGAGGAGGTATGATAGGGGCCTCAGAATGGTCAGTCTCATCCAACTCTGTGCTTGGATGAGTACTAGAAGACGCGGCTGAACCGGAATGGCCTTGAGAAATAGATAAATTGATCATTAAATTGTTAAGTGCATTGGAGCAGTGGAATGCTTTTTTTAATTTACGTCATATTAGTTTCTGTAATAAATCGACAAAACTCGTAGTGTCCTAAAATTAATATGGTTTAATGTGCTAACTTGATATTTTTAAATTAATAAAGATTTCGTGGGAATTAATTGGTTTGCTCTTCTTTATTGCGCGCGATATTTAAACTCAGAAGTGAGAGTTGAAATGAATATGACTATAACTGTGAACATTTGCCGAAATCTTTTTGCAAATGCTATTCGGATTAAAAGACATTTTAAACAAAAAAACGACTTGACTTATTTATGTAGAAATTCGCTTGTTTTCAACCACTCAAGTTTTACAAAAATGAGTTCTAACCAATTTAGAGCATTATATTTTTAACCCTGGCAAAGGAAAATACAAATTTTAATTATGGAAAATTGTCTGAGCAAATGTTAAATTAAGACCTCAGATACGTCGGTTCCTTTGCTTCTCACTTTAACTCATGTTTTTAAATTTTATAAAACACAGATAACCTACCAAAAACTCAATTATTTTCTGCGGCGTCTACTAGTAACAAGAAATGATAATTGCAATTGACGACTAAACTTACTGGATGCACACACCAATGAGCAGTGATTTCATGACCTCTGACCTGACTGAAATGCGCGTTAATTAATGCACCGCTGCAACACAAAGACCGCTTGGTAGAAATAAGTCCCTTTGGTGGCCAATGTTACTTAAAAAAGCATTGCCTTTATAACTTTATAAACCATATAGGTATGCTTTAGTCTCTATTGCGTCTTTTAATAAAACCAAATATTTTCAAAAAATCGCTTTGTCTGTTTTGCATTTCGTTTCCTAATATATACATGTACAAATACATGCAACACATATACTTTACATCAATTATCGTGATAAAGAGCTCCATTACAGAGCATTGCATGTACTTAGAAAAACATCATAAAAATCAATGAATAACTTAAATGTCAATGAAACCAAAATTGGATTATGAATTTTCTTTTTTATGGACAATATCCTCTTTAAATTTATGAGTCTTTAATTCGAAACTTGTTTCATTTCCGGTTTATACTCAAATTAAATTTTGCATTTAAGCAAATTTAACCTCTTATTTGAATTTTAAAATTTTAAAGACGTAGTAAAAATCTGAACAAAAGTCTTTCAACAGAAATATCCGGGTAGAATGACGTGTGATTGACAATTTCATTTATGGGGAGAAAGGAGGTTGGTTATTCTATGTTTCAGTTCAGAAATATCTTCCAAATATCTGATTTTCATATGAAAAATAGAGTTTTAAGTTTACTTGTAGTTTAGTTGAATGGGTATGATTAATTTATGCAAAAAATAGTTTTAGTTAGCAATGTATCGATTTTGTACGCGCGTGATATTTAAACTTCGCTACCGAATGGTATAAAATTAAAAGGCCTCGGAATTTCTCGAGGCCAAAGCGTGTTTCCTATTAGCAAGAATAATTTGCTAAATCTCATATTCCAAGCATGCTTATGGGAACGTGCCAACAGTGACGCGCCTTGAAGCAAGTTATTTTTTTTATTTTCCAGCAGTGAATTTGGAAAATGACACATCGTGAGTGTATTCTGGCTTTTGGTCGGGGCTTAACCTTTCCTTTGTCAGGAATTCGCTTGGAAAGTTGGAGATAACTAGGAATGTTTTAGTTGCCAACCGCATGAAGACAACGTTATTTTGTAATACTGTTCTTTGGAAATTACTCATAACTACGTGGGAACCCTCAGAAGATCCTAAGGAAGACTACGTTGATAACCAATCACATTGCTTTATACTGAGCTGTCAGAGCTGATGCTAAGACAATACTAAGGGTAGGGTGTTGTGGGAATTTGCTATATGGCCAGGCATAAGATTTGCTCTCTGCAATGGTGCCTTTCATCGACAAGCTGAGTATATATCAAACTAACCTCAGTTGTCAAATAGACAAACCTGCTAAAAACAGTAGTAAAGCTATTCCAAAAATTAATAAACCCCTACTAGACGCGATCACTAATGAAAAATTTGAATTTGCAGTTTTAATTGCAATCAGTCGTTTTATTCATATTTGAACCAATGCCTCTGTGAAAATGAATGAATTATAACACAACCCCAAGAAGTACGCCTCGACTCCCAATAAGATTTCCAGGAATTATCGCAGCTGCAAGCTGTGTGTGTGTGTGTGTGTGTGTGTGTGTGTGTGTGTGTGTGTGTGTGTGTGTGTGTGTGTGTGTGTGTGTGTGTGTGTGCAGGGCGAAAAACAGTATTTACTGCCCATTTCAAAGTTAACATTGGCGGGAAGGCGAAATGCTGTAAAACATTTTTTTGGAAAAGAAAGCTGTACTTGAATCCTACAATCTCTTAAGAAATTAAAGATCGCAAATTTTTTCAAATGCCAGGTTTTATGATATTTATAATTATCCCCTTAGTTGACTTCGGTTTTCCAAAGGGAGGGGGGGGGATACATATATAGCAGTTAATTAATAGCAGTTCATTAGCTGTCTTCTGGCTTCCCAGTATCTCTGGGTTTCCCTCGTTGTCTTTAGGGCTGGACACCGAATCAGGTGGGTCTTCTTCATTTCCTCCTGTAGGTCACATAGGTGGGGGGGGGGGGCATGTTGGTTGGATCACAAATAATAGTAATTCAAATACCTCTGTAGTTGGGATTAATACACAAGCCAAGCATTCAGTCGGCGTTAGTGAAAATTCTTACTCATGTGTTTTTAAATAAACTCCAAATCAAATATACTTGGCACTGGCCTATGCTCGTATCAAATATTACTTCTTTTTTCCACGTCTTATCGTAATAAAATATTGAATTAGGTTTCGAAATATTCAGTGCTCCGATAAAATGAAATATGAGGAAGTGGGGCTCTTCTTCATTATTTCTCACGTTTGGAATGAAGACTGGGGCCATTGTGAGAATTCGACGAAACGCGCATCCATTGCTTTCACGCTCAAGATTCTCAAGATGGATTAATTTCACTAACCTTCTCGTAACCACTGTGATTTTAAATAAAATTTTACAATAAAGTGAGAATGAACACAGACTACGATACGTATATCGCAAAATTTACAAGCCGTAAAATTTTATGAGCAATAGGTTTGAAAACATCCTTTCGCAACCTTGAAACCAACGAACGAATTACTTATGGCCACTACATTGCTTTTTATTATTCAATTTAAGGCTATTTTATACCCTCTTTTTTGATACAGATAACAGTATAATTGTCAAAAAATGAAAAAATCATTTATTAATTTCTATCTTCTACTAAAGGACGTAATGACTACTTCTTGCAAGAGGAATTTTAGGCGTTAGGTTCAAAATTGTGCATTCACTAGGCAATAAGATTGCCTTGCAACCATTAAATTAAAGATCTTTTGAAGTTTCCAAATAAATTCGATAAAAATGTTCTAACGAGAACTTACCTCGAGCATTTGAGCGACTAAATAGGCTGTTATGCGAACCGTTGTGCATATTAATCAAAGAAAAGCCCTCGAAAAAAGGATATTGTCCGAAAGTTAGTATTGAGACGATACCCGAAATTCAGGTCACTAATTATCCCGTTTGGAGTAAAGTAAACCTCACTAGACCTCGAGGAGAATACTCCACCCAATACGCAATAGAGTCTGTGTAGTAGTCCAAACAGTTGTTCCACGCGATGATGGCTGAAACAGGGGCTGGGAAACGCTACTTTTGTCCATTTGGCTCATGATTGGTCACACCGATATATGGTTAATACACACACGCGTGCAACAACGGATGGACGCACGCGTAACTGTGCAAGGAAATCGATTGGTGCCCAAGTTGTGTCGGCATCTTTTTGCCTGCTGGTTCACACACACGGCCGCACCTTCCTACAACTGCACGCTTTCTCGCATTAGGTTTATTATTAGAAGTAGACAGTTAATCAATATACCTTTATGACATTACAAATGATCTTTATTACAGAATTTGAGTTTAAAGGCTCCTTAAATAGAGACAGACCAGTATTAACATTTATTTATGCGTATTGCAATTGGTTGTGTTGAGTCACTGGGAAAAAAATTTATTTCCTTTGAATGTCTTTTGTTTAACCCAGCATATGCACCGATGGCAACTTGTCATTTAATATTTCAATAGTAATTCGGCTTTTGAAAGGAAATGTCCAATAACTGAGATCTCAAGACCAACCCGAAAGTTAATAGGACATTTAAAAAGGAAGGTTCTAAATCGTTGCTAGAAAAATCAACTGTGGATATTTACGATTTAGTTCTATTTGGATATAATCTGTGAAAAATTGATTTCAGGTAGGCAGATCTCCTTTCATGTCGTGGGCAAGCCTTACTGAAGGTGAATTGCTTATTAAATTAACAATGTTTAATTTGATGCCAAATTGTCAGATGAAGTGGGCTTCTCAGCTACATTGACGTTACACTACGTGGTTCTGTAATTTTCTTTAACTAGATGCTTATGCAAGTTGGAGTTATAATTCCTTGGCACATGAAACGTTAAAGTGATGAAAATGAACAAAGTAATCATTGAGACACAATATATCCGGCCAGATTAATGAAATAGCTCAGCTGAGATAGAAGTGGGCTTTTAGCTTATGCCAACAAGTAAAACATGATTTGAGGTCACAGTTGTCAGGCATTTTTAAAGGAAGGGATATTTTGGCTCAATATTCTCTTTAATATGAGGCCCTACACTGGTCTTGACTTTCAAACTTTTAGTCGGTAAAATTTTATTATCCTTTCCATGATATCTTTACCTTAAGCAATCAGTAATATGAAACGATCATTTTCCCACATTGTTGGTCTTGGAAAAAAATCAATCAAGTAGCATTGAGTGTTTCCAAAGCTCATCTGCACTCAGCACGTCTGTTTCTCTGCAACACCACGTCTGTCTTAAAACTGGGCTAACAATATTACAATATGTGCGTATTTATTAAATGAGGGGTGTGCGATAGACTTACATCCACATGGTGCATCCTGGGCAACGTATACTCATA